GATGTCTGTTAGGTCCATTTGATGTATGGTATCATTTAATTCAGACGTCTCTCTGTTTACTCTTTGTCCAGTTGACCTGTCTAATGGAGAGATTGGGGTATTGAAGTCCCCTACTTGTACTAAGTTGGGGTTAATCTGTATCTTAAAGTTCTGTGGTGTTGTTTTTATGAATTTCAGGATGGTAATATATTCTTGGTTAATTGTTCCTTTGATCAGAATGAAGTGACCCTCCTTATTTCTTCTAATTAGTTTTGATTTGAAGTCTATTTTGTCAGATATTAGAATTGCAACCTCTGCTTGTTTCTTAGTACCATTTGCTTGGAATATTCTTTTCCATCCTTTTACCTTAAGGTAGTGCCTGTCCTTGAAGGTGAGATGGGTTTCTTGCAGATAGCAAAGAGGTAGATTTTGTTTCTTAATCCATTCACTTAGTCTGTGTCTTTTGACTGGAGAGTTCTTCAGTACTCATTTAAAGTTATTAATGAAAGATGAGTATTGAATCCTGTCATTTTTATTTCTGTTTACATTCTTGATATGGCTGTACTTTTCCACAGTTATACCTTCATTGAATTTCTTTCTACAACCCCTGGGGTATAGTCATTCCTTTCTCAGCTCTTTGTATTGCTTCCAGAACTCTCTGAAGGGATGGTTCTGTGGATAAGAATTCCTTCAGGCTCTTCTCATATAGAACTGGAAGTATCTTGGTCCAGGCTCTTCTGGCTTTCATAGCTTGCACTGATAAGTCAGCTGTAATCATGATGGGCTGTCCTTTGTATGTGACTTGTTTTTCTTTTGCTGCTTTCAGTATTCTCTCTTTGTTCTGTACATTTAGTGTTCTTATTATGATATGTCATGGGGAGTTTCTATTCTGATCCTATTTGGTGTTCTATGTGCTTCACATATTTGTATGGGGATGTTTTTCCTTAATATCAGGAAATTCTCTTCTATAATCCTGTTTAAGATCTGGTCAATACCATTAACCTGAAATTCTTCTCCTTCCTCTATGCCTATGATACATAGATTTGATCTTTTCATGGTGTCCCACAACTCTTGCATATTCCATTCCTGTGTTTTTTTTTAATTTTCCAGAATCTTTGCTTGAGTGGTCCAATTCTTCAATTTTATCCTCCAGTGTTGATATTCTGTTTTCCATTTCATTCATTCTAGCTGTGCGGTTTTCCCCTATTGTTTCAAGTTTGCTTATTGAGTTTTGCACTTCCTTCTTCATTTCTGCCTGAGTTTTCTTCAATATTTCTATCTCTTTTGGGAATTGATTCATGAGTTTTCCCCTTTCTTTTTTTAGTTTTTTGATTTTTTATTTCATGTGTTCTTTAAATTTGTTGAATTCTTTAGATCATTTTTTTTGATTTTTTTTTTTTTTTGGTCTTTTTGAGACAGGGTCTCCCTGTAGCCCCAGCTGTCCTGGAACTATGTAGACCAGGCTGGCCTTGAACTCACAGAGATCCATCTGCCTCTGCCTCCTGAGTGCTTATGGTTGTTCTTTTAAATTCAGCATCCTGGGTTCTCTCTAGGGGGTTCTCCTTGTAGAACTCTTCTACAGAATTAGTGGAGTTTAGTGGGGACATGGTGTTTTGGCTTTCCATTTTATTATTCTTTCGTTGTGATTTTGGCATGTGGATTTCTTTTGTTGTTTATGACTCTGATATGAAAATTAAGTTGAAGTATGCTTCTGTTTGTATTATCTGGGTGCCTCAGTCCTTTCCTTGTTGGTTATGTAAAGTTGGTTGGTATAGGTTTCAGGTTCTCTCAGGTGTTATTTTGGAGGGAACTGATGACTTCAGATGGGCTATTCAGGAGCACCCACAAACACCCAAGTCAGGTTCTAGTCAGGTACACTCAGGATTCTTTCTAAGGTTTGGACCCCTATTAACAGGAATGCAGAGCAAAATTTGGTAAGTTCCCTAAGGGGGAGGGGCAATTTTGGGACTCAGTTGGTCTGCTGTGTTCTCAGCCCCTATGCCAGAGTAAAGGGAGAACCGGCACTTTCTGGCAGTCTGCTGAGATCACAGCTGCCACACCAATGGAGGTTGGAATCCAAGCCGGCCCTCTCAGGCTATCTGCTAAAATCTCAGCCCTAGCTTACCAAAGCCAGATCTGCCCCTGGGCCTTGGGAGGGGCCTCAGGAAATCCCAGTTAGGGTGTTGGGTACTGTGCAATTATTGGAAGCTTACCACAAGGTGGAGGCAGGATCCGGCACTCTCAGGCAGTCCCCTGCGTTCTCAGCCCCTATACCACAGGGAGGCCAGAACTGGCACTCTCTGGCAGTCTGCTGAAATCATAGCCACTACACAGATGGAGGTTGGAATCCGCCTTCTCAGGCTGTCTACTAGGATCTCAGCCTTAGCCTACTCAGGTTTTCCTTTTTATGTAACTTGTTTTTCTCTAACAGCTTTCAGTACCCTCTCTTTGTTCTGTACATTTAATGTTTTTACTATGATATACTATGGGGACTTTCTGTTGTGATCATGTCTTAATGGTGTTCTCTGTGCTTCTTGAATCTCTGTATCTTTCCTTGATTCAGGGAAGTTTTCATCTATAATCCTGTTGAATGAAGACCTGTTCAATGCCATTGGTTTGAGTTTCTTCTCCTTCCTATATGCCCATAATATGTAGATTTGGTCATTTCATGTTGTCCCACATTTCACAAGTATGTCATTCCTGTGGGTTTTTTTGAATTTTGCATAGTCTTTGCTTAAGGAGTCCAGATCTTCAACTTTATCTTCCAGTCTTGATATTCTGTGTTCCATTTCATTCATTGTGCTTGTGAGACTTTCTCCTGTTGTTTCTAATTGGTTTATTTAATTTTTAGTCCTGTGTTCATTTCCATTTGGGTTTTCTTCACTATTTCTATCTCCTTAGTGAATTTGCTTTTCAAGTTATGAACTGTTTGTCATATTAAGCCACATATTTGTATATTCTTGGGCTTCCATCAAAAGTTTATGCCTTTCCTTTTTGAGTTCTTTGAATTGTTTGTGTTTTCCTGAATTTCTCTGATCATGTTTATGATTGTTCTTTTAAATTCTGAACCCTTGGGTTCTACATGGTGGTTCTCAATGCTGTGCACTTCTGTAGGACCCGTGGATTTGGTTGTGGACATATTTTCCTGGTTTTTCATACTGAATTTTTGCATTGCCATCTGGGCACATGGATGTTCTTTGTCGGTTATGGGTTCAGCAGGAACTTCTACTGTGCTTTTGTTTAATTTTGGTTCTGTTGATATTGTTTATGTAGCATAGTTACTTTTTGTTTAGGTATGGAAGACAAATTGTGGGTATTTCAAGTTATTGCTCAGTAGTAGACTGATCAGAGTCCTGGCTGAGCAGGTGTGTCTGCCTGATCCATATGCTGGGAAGTTGGCGGTGAGGGGACTGCCTGGGGACACAGCCAGGGAAGAAGGCTGGTCTCAGGTGTGCAAAGGCAAGTTGGGGGTAGGGGGCAGTAAGGTCTCTAGGGACATAGACTGAAGAATTGGGTTTGTCTGGGTACAAAGGATCAGGAAGCAGTGGGGGGACCTAAGCCAAGAGAGTAGTCCAGAGGTCTGGGGTGCCAAGAGAAGAAGCAGGCCTGTGCCCAAGGCTAGAAGGAGAACAGGATGTCATGATCAATTTTTAAACAAATAGAATTACTGTTTGATACAAGGTAATGAAAACCTAAAATACTTCTTAACATCTGAAAACTTTGACTTCAAATTCACCGTACAAAGTTTTACCTAAGCGCACAAAGTAGTACTTTTAAAAAGCAAAAACTAATTTGGTTTCCAAACATTTTTTTAAAGTAAAAACTTATCCCAGCACTTGGGAGGCAGAGGCAGGCGGATCTTTGTGAGTTCAAGGCCAGCCTGGTCTATATAGTGAGTTCTAGGACAGCTGGGGCTACAAGGAGACCCTACCTCAAAAAGTCAAAAAAAAAAAAAGTAAAAACTTAGGGGACAGATATGGTGGCTTACACCTTTAATCCTATCACTCAGGAAGCAGAGACAACTGGATCTCTGTGTGATCAAGGTCAACCTGGTCTACATAGCAAATTCCAGGCCAGCAGATGCTACAGTGAGACCTTGTCTCAAAAAAATGAATAAATAAACAAAAACTTGGGCAATAAACCAACAAAAATATTGTCCTTGGTTTTCTAAATCTTGTTACATAATCAAATGTAAACACTTATTTTTTGTTTTGTTTTGAGACAGGGTCTTAACACATAGTTCTGGCTGGCCTGCAACTTACTATAGATAATGCTGGCCATGAATTCACAGAGCTCTGCCCGCCTCTACCTCTTGAGTGCTGGGATTAAAGTGTATGCATGCCACCACACCTAGCAAACACATGAATTTAACAAACTAAATAAAATAAAATACTTACCGCTGGCTTCACCAGCAACTGACCCATCACTGTGAACATTCGGGAAAGGCCGACTGGGGTACACACTGTGGAAATGAGATCACCAGTGAGGACAGTCCTTCAGCTCAGAGAGACAGGCTAGCAGTCCAGAAAATCCAGCTTCAACAGATCATTTTAGGTGCATCCACCAGCTTAGATCTCCTGGTGCTTTGTTGTAGGTTCACATTCACCAAGAAATGAGCGGCAGTGTGGAGAAGGCTGGGCATTATCACACTTAACGAAAAGAAGTGTGATGACATAAGATCCTACAGAGTAAACACTCTTCTTTCAAAGAAATTGAAGAAAACCAGGCAAAGAACACATTTTATTTCAACTACTAAAACTGAGAACCAGAAAATAAAATCTAAAGTGACAACTATGATCAGAAGTCCTTTAACGACATTTAGCAATTCATAACGTCCCTGAGACGGAAAGTGATGACTTCAGTAAAACCAAATGAATTTTAAAGTAAAGACCACAAACTTGGAATGTTGCTCTTTCCTTTTAAAAGCAGACACCAGCATCCTAACTGGGCTGGAGGTGAATGTAGAACATGCACATGAGCTGGGTATGTGTGTGTATGTGTGTCTGTGTGAGAGTGTGTGTTAGTGCATGCATATAAATGTGAATACGTATGTGTGCATTTGTGTTCAACACAGTGGAAAGGCTTTCCTTAGAGAAGAAAAGCATCCAATTATTTCAAGGTTCCAGTTAACAAAATTTATCTGACACAATAAAAAAAAAAAGTTAGCTGTTGGGGGACACTGGTGCTAAGGCTATAGTCCTCCATGCCCAGATAGCTCTAAGGGGCTCGGCAATATATGGAAGGACTCCCTTTCTCAGCGGGGGCCTCCCGCTCTCTGTCTGACTTACCTGGAAAGTGCCACCAAGCGCAGATGCCTGACCTTATTTGGAACATGACCTTTGGCATAGTTACCTGCAATAAAACTGCCCCCAGGTTTTTTCTATATGATAATTAGGCATTGCCCTATAGCCAGATGATAGGATCCCCTTGCCGCATGTAAATAAAGCATACTATAAGCACCTATCAGCTGAAGCTTTGGCCGCTGCCTCCACACTATATTTTCCTTGACCCCCACTGAATAAATGGAGCTGTGTCACTGAATCTGCCTCCCCGGAGGGCTTTCTTTCGTTATGCTCACTGGCTGTCCTGACCCTGTTCGTCGCTTCTGCTTTCTTTGTTCTCGTGGACCGGGGGCCAGCGACCCATGAGGGGAGGGAGAGACCCCACAGTTAGCATCAACTAAAAAAAATGTCTGCATTATTAAGGAATCCAATCAGGAAACTGCCACAATTTTCCAGGATAGAGGACAACTCTCCTTTCCTAGCAATACCATGTTGGAAAAAGACTTACCGAGAAGTAACAGGCATCCCATCAGTGATATGCAGGAGTATAGGTAAGGTAGGTAGAACTCCCAGAGATCTGTGAAAACACAAAAGTCTTTTAGTAAACCTAAAATATTGTACAGTAAAATATAGGCAGTCTATAGTTTATCTTAATAAACAATGTCTAAATAGATGATACACACTATAATTGCTTATTTGAGTGGATTACATGGTCTAATTTCTAAATCATGGAATAAAATATTTAACATAAAAGACTAAGAAGTAATCCTCTGAAAAATCTGTTTGGAAGGGGAAAAAACAAATGTCCATGGGATTAAAAACAGAAACTATTTAAGGAAAAAGTACTCTGAAAAGCTGTTTAGCTCTTCTGTAGTTTCTTCAGTCTATCTAAGACTCCTTAATTCTGTAAGTTAACATCAAGGTCAACCCCTCAAAGAATTACTACATGGTCTTTAATTCTATGTCACTGTATCCCAGACTCAGTCATTTGTCATAGGAACTGGCTAGCACAGTAATTGGGTACCGTATAAAGACTCCATGCTGGCAGCATCGCTGTTGATCAGGGCAGAAGCCACCCACACCATCCCGAGAATCAGCAAGGCAAGCAGCAGCAGCATGACCAGGGTCTCCAGGATGCGGGCTCGGATTCCCTGATAACAGCACAGAGACAGGGTGGAAGGAAGGTCACTGAGCCAACACTCCATCACAGGAAGGCCAGGCTTCCATTTAAAAGCATGCAGCAGGCTGGGCGTGGTGGCCCATGCCTTTAAACCCAGCACTTGGGAGGCAGAGGCAGGCAGATCTCTGTGAGTTCAAGGCCAGCCTGGTCTTCATAGTGAGTTCCAGGACAGCTGGGGCAACAGGGAGACCCTGTCTCAAAAATAAATAAAAATAAATAAATAAATAAATAAATAAATAAATAATAAATAAATAATAAAGCATGCAGCAATTCTTCAGGAAGGGAGAGGATATATGGTTAACTTGATAAAATTACTTATATTCATTACATGTAAATCTATATTTGTTAGAGAAAACCCTAAATGTTTTCAGTTTATGTTTCAAATAATTATTAAGGTTGGAATAAAGTACAAAAAATTCTTCACACAGGCTTTGTACAGCTGTCTGAACAATTACTTTCCTAACACGTTGCACAAGAAAGCATTCATGAATTTCCATCTGTGGTTTTAATCAAGAAAGGCTGGACTGTCTGGCATGCAGTTGGTCTAGAGACATACAACTGGGCTGGGGTGAGGACACAGGTCACCTGATAAGGAAGTGATCTGCACAGAGCCTCAGGAGGCCTCTAGCGGCCAGCTGGAGAACTGATCACTAGACTGCAACACCATAAACTCCAAGGATAGTATACTGATTATATATCATTTGTTTACATATTAAATATAATTTTCATTAATTTATGAGGCTGACTATAAGAAACATTATGCACATTTTTTAATTTTTTTTTTATTTTATCTGTATGAGTGTATTGCCTGCATGTATGTGAGTACACCCGTGTCGTGCAGTGCTCTGGAGGTCAGAAGAGGGCTTCGGATTCCCCTGGAGCTGGAGTTAAGGATGGTTCAAGCTAACATGTGGGTACTGGGAATTGAACCTGGGTACTCTGCTAGAGCAGCCAGTGCTCTTAGCCACAGAGCTATCTCTCCAGCTCCATATTTTATTTTCAAGAATGAGGGTGTATGACATAAATAATAAAAAATAAAATAAAATAATGTTGTTTTAGTTTTTTCTTAAAAATTAATCTCCATGGAGGATGGAGAAAGGGCTCAGTGGTTAAGAGCACTGACTGCTCTTCCAGAGCACCCAGATTCAGTTTCTAGCACCCATGGTGGCTAACAGCTGTCTGTAACTCCAGTTTCAGGGGATCTGAGGTCTTCTTCTGCCCTCCATGGTCACTGCACAACACAGATGCACTTACATACATGCAGGCAATGCATTTATCAAACAAAATAGAATTACATATATATAATAGTCTTTTTGAGACAGGGTCTCTTTGTAGCCCTACCTGGCCTGGAACTCACTATGTAGACGAAGCCAGCCTTGAACTCACAAAGATCTGCCTGCCTCTGCCTCCCAAGTGCTGAGATTAAAGGCGTGCACCATCACACCCAGAAGAATAAAATATTTTCAAAAAATTAACTTCTGGCTTCCCTGGGCCTGCACAATCCTCAGGCTTCCCTCCAGGGTAAGTCGATCAAACCCTCCACGCCTTGACTCCTTCAGCCTCATTCACCCTCCCATGTCCCCAGCCGGTCTCACCTCCCAGCCTGGGTCCTGTCCCATTCCTTGTCTTGGCACACCAGACACCAGGGAACCACTGCTTCCTGATCCTTTGCGTCCAGACCAACTCAGTTCCTTCTTGGGTCCCCAGGAGCCTCCTAGGCCTGGCCCCGCCCTCACCTCCCTCTACTTCCAACACCCAAATTCCTGAGGCCAAAATCTTTCCGGGAGGGATCCAGACCTTAGGAGAAAGCCTGAGAGCATCTGATCATCATGTGACTTGGGCCTCTGTAGAACTCCTGAAGACCAAAGCAATCTGGCTACTCCAATATAAAATCAAAAGAGAGAACCAGAAGCTTAGACAAACCAGATTTTCATGCCCAAAAAGTAAACCACAAAGACACATAAAGTTCATAAAAAGAAGCAGACCTAAACTTGAAGGCTTGAGTCTCACACAAGAATCAGAAACTACAAAAGAAATTCACATGTCGAAATCAGAGAAAATAATAACATGTAAAACCAAAATAACATATCCCCATCAAATACCAATAGCCCTCTAGAGGAGTACAATGAGAAACCCCTAGAGATAATGCAAGACATGGAACTCAAAAGAACAATTATAAACATGATAAAAGAATTCAGTGAATTTAAAGAACATACAAACAAAGATAACAAAGAATTGAAGGAAGATAGGGATAAACATCTGAATGAATTCAGAAAAGAGTTAGAAATATTGAAGAATACTCAGGCTGAAATGAAGAAGGAAGTAAAACACTCAGAAAGTCAATTAGAAATGACAGGAGAAAGCCTTACCAATAGGATGAATGAAATGGAAAACAGAGTATCAAGACTGGAAGATAAAGTGGACAAACTAGACCACTCAGACAAAGATTATGAAAAATTTAAGAAATCACAAGAATGGAATATGTAGGAATTGTTTGACACTATAAAAAGACCAAACTTGTATATCATAGGCATACAAGAAAGAGAAGAATCCCAAGATAATTGCATGGACCATATCTTCAACAGAATCATGAAAGAAAATTTCCCAAAATTAAAGAAAGACATGCCCATACAAATACAAGAAGCAGATAGAGCACCAAACAGACAGGACCAGCAAAGAAACTCTCCACGGCACATCATAGCAAAAACATTAAATGTACAAAACAAAGAGACAATACTGAAAGCTGCAAAAGAGAAACAACAAGTCACATATAAAGGAAAACCCATTAGGATTACAGCTGA